ATCGTCTATTCATATGGTTATTTTGCATTTTATGGTAAATAATTTATTGATTCATTATTAAGATTTATGTTTAGAATATATTGAATGGATCGGTTGAAGCTAGATATTAACACCGTTGGATGCTGGCTCAATGGTCTAATGGTTAAGCTCTGACACACAAGACTGATAGATCCTGGGTTCGAATCTCACTGAGGGGGGGGGTGGGATCGTGGGTGCGCACTGCTGAAGAGTCCCATACTAGGAACAAACGGCCGTCTAGTACTTCCACGTTTTCCATGGTGGTCTAGCTTCAATTGACTCATGATTTCAACGTAAAATTATCTCAATTTTTTATGATTTCAAGCAGTTGAAACGTTAATGGACAAAAAGTTGTTCCCTGTTTACTGATAATTGTTTACCGGTTATGTTGGTAAACTCACCCATTTTTATGAAATCTTAAGTCATATCTGTCATTCTAGTAGCCAGAATAATCAACTATTTACTATTAATGCTTTAACTGAATCATTTAAATCTATATTGAAATACTCTAATGAGATTTTGAATAGTAATAAGTGAGAAGGAGTGCATTTTAATACAGAATAAAATCGTCTATTCAGTAAACTAATTTGGATCTAGAAGCTTTGTAACTTAGAGGGAAAGCAACTCCAAGATATGATAAATTAAATTTCATGGTTACAGTTGATGGTCGATGGATTTTAGGAGCTACTAAGAAATACCATTTGTGTACACTTAGTAACTGAAAATATTGTTTAATTAGACATTTTGTTAATTTTTGAACGATGCCGAGAAATACGAATAAATATATCTTGACGTCTATAAAATACACAGTGCAACTCAATAACTGAATAGGAACTAATGTTCTCTACTTTGAGTTATACATTTTTTGTCAGGTTTATTGATACTATCCAGCTTCTTAGACCGAAGTAAGTGAGTTGGAGTTCGAACTTACAACTGAGACGTTCGGCTTTCCTAGAGGAGCACTCCCTCAACCATTCACCCTGACGTCTTATCTATAAGGCGATGCAGCAATGTTGGAAGATACTGTTCTATGTTACCTGGTAACTTCATCCGTTCCCACCGCTTTGAAACCAAAGTTATTCGACTCCCTTTTGGATGGACCATCTGTATACATAAACGCAATTTTATCGCCGAAATTCTACCTTTTTTCCTCTGAATTTTTTTAAAAAGCACGACGCGTGAATGCAGCTAGTGAGTATTTTGAGAGTGAGAGCGAACTTTCCCTACTCTCGATTATACCAGTTTAATTTGTAAATGTATACAGAAGTGGTTCCTTAACCACATCAATAGGGGGAAAAATACCAATAACTCAATTCATGTTATCCTTACTTTGCTAGCTAAAAATGTTTACTATCAAATATAACTTATATGATTCGTTCACATACACACACACACACACATTGACACCACCTACCATTGGTATTATAATCAATTGACAAAATAAACCGGTCAATATAGCTTTTGGTTCATGTAATTGTTCTCTAATCATAATTGGATCATCACAACAACCAACAGATAATGCAAGCATAAAAGCAATTATTGCTGAACTCCAATCAGATGCAATATAAAATTTCTGTGGTCTTAATAATACTGTTAACCATAGATAATTTTTCCATACACCATGACTTTGAATTTTATCATTTTTTATTAAACTATTATTGTTACTATTCAATTCTTCTATTAATTTGTTATAATAATTCATTTGTTGTTTTGGTACATAAATTTTTGCTTCAGTAATTTTAATTTGTGTTGGATCTTGTATTGTTATAGTATATTCTTTATTATGTAATTGATATAATGTTTCTTCTTGTAATTGTATTTGATGTTGTTTCATACTTTCTGGACTAATAATTGTTGTTGTCATTGTTGTTGTCTCTATGGTATTATTCTGTTGATGATAATGTTCATCAATTATATTTAATGAATTAGTTAATTTTGTCAATGATTCAATATGTTTTCTTGATGTACTATTCAACCAAATTAATGATGTGGTAATTTGACTATGACCTAAATTCTCTGCATGTATATAAAATCCATTAGTTGCATTACATTTTATTTCTAAATATAAAGTAATACATAAAGAATTATTATGATTATTATAAGTAGTACTATCAGTAGTATTTTCACAATGATATAAATGAATATTAGAATGTATTCTTTTAGAAAGTGACAAAGCAATCACATAACCATTAGAGGATGTAATTTTATACAATAAAGTTGTTGCCGTCTTATTATTATTATTATCATTTACTGATGATTGATTAATCACTACTGTTTGACTGATAGATTGAGCTAATTGTGTTTTAATAATCTGTTTCCATTGTTCAGTATATTTACAACAACATGTACATGTTAATTCAACCCATTGATATGCACCTACACTTAATACCGGTGATTGAGAAGAATGTTTAAATATAGTATCTTCTTTATGTTGAATATCTGGTTTCAAACCTAATTCAATATGATAATCCACTGTACAATTAAGTGGTCTAAATAGATCTGATGATGATGTGGTAGTGGTGGTGGTGTTCATAATTGGTTGTTGTTGTTGTTGTTGTTGTTGCTGTTGATGATGATGTAATAATGTATTACAATTGGAAATAATACAATAATAGAATATAATCATATATAAAAAGGATGAATTAACTTTCATTGATTTAATCATTATGATTATTACAATATAAACTTTGATAATGAATAAATTATGTTAAAATATTAAAGTATCACAAGTAACAGGGATCATAAGTAATGAGAATACTATGTAAGTAAAGTGAATATTCTATTTTATAGTGAATATATACATATAATATTGCATATATTTAATCTTTATATATATATATTGGATTTCTTGTAATCTATAGAAATAAGTTGAAGAGGGATAGATTAGACAATACATATCCAATAACAATAGTATATTTCTCGTGGTTTTGTATGGTTATCTGTTAATAACTATTTACAATTTATTACTTAGGATATTCACCTTCACTCTTATTACATTTTCAATTCGAACAAATGAATCGTTGGTATGTTTTACTATCGTTGAAACATGTTATTATTTTAGAAGTATGATTAAATTAGAATAAATGAAATAAAATCCATTTAATAAATGAGTTGTGAAATTTTGACACATATTGTAACTAGGTATAGAATGGAATTTCCCAATCAAATATTAAATTTGTTTGGTAATATTCTTTCCGCAATCACTGTGGTGATTCTTTATCCTTTGCATTATATATATATATATATATATATATATATATATATATATATATATATATATATATATATATATATATATATATATATATATATTCCAATATCAGCCAATCAGCTTGTTATTTACATTTTTGTGTACCTTTCAAAAAATATATTTGATAGGTTCATCATTGTATGTCCAATTGGACAATGGTGGATAATTTTTTGTTGTTGCTGAGAGAAATTTCAAGAATACAGACATACATATATTTACCTATCTAAGTGTATGTATACACAATTTAGATCATGTTCTTAAAACGGTTATGATGATCCCATCGATCTAGAATGCATATGTCTTTGAAAAAATGATGACTATAGTTAGTGTGAATCTGCTAAGTTTTTTTTTTTTTGTAGCAATGTTTAGTCTTACTCAAATAGTGAATAAGTAATCAAAAGCGGTGTTATTCAGTGAAGTAAGATTTGTGCTTGGTAAAATAGTATTTTGTTGATGATGTATTTAGCTTATCATCCGAACTCTGGATGAAACTCCTTGTTTGTCATTAAGATACCATTAAAATCAGTGTCTATGTGCATGTCTTAAATATAAACTAAGGTCCTGGGTTCGAGTCCCGGTCGGAAAGCCGTGGACTCATACTGCTGAAGATTCTTATACTAGGGCGAAACGACTGTCTAGTGCTTTCAGGCTTTGATCGGTTGTCTAACTCAGATCGGTTCATGATTTCGGTGAAATTTAATATTGTCGACAAACCCATATTGACAATACAAACTAATGTTCAGTGTGTTTGGTGTGCTTGATCTGCGCTATTCAATAGTAAACTGTAGTCGGAGATTTGTGTTGCCTTCTGAATTCATACGCCGTTGGGATTTATTTAATAACGGTCATCAGGGTGATTGATATACGAAGCCCAAAGAATTATCTCAAAGTCAAGGTACTACAAACTAAGTGGTCAATAATAGTGATTAAAATAGTTTTAAATTCACGATGAAAGCCATACTCATGTCTAAATAATGTATATTCTAATCAGTGGTAAGGACCGGTAGTCACGGCTTATCTTGATCGATAGAATTTGATTGGAAACAACTGAGTAATCAGTTAATGTATTTATTAACTTCCAGTCCTACGCAGATCACATGTGTGAGGTAATCAATTTTTATCAACTGAGGTTTCTGGGATATTACTGCATATGGCCAATCATTACCTAAGTCGATGAGTGATGTTTCCTGATATAATAGTAAGTTGTAAGAAAGCTAGGGTGTAGCCAAATCAAAACACGGCGTTAGTCATTGTCCATTAAATTGAACCATGCGGACGAGTGCAAAATACATGGTTAGGGTTCATGCAATAGTCGTAACAAGTGATTAGTGACTTTGGATGACGTGGCTCAGGAGTGGTTGGAATAGTGTATTCACGCTTTGACTATACTCCGATCCTAAGCTCGTAAATTATTTTATAGTTTTTTCTATTTCACGGACTCATTGTCTCGAATTACATGATTTATGCTTAACATTTTCTAGTACCATTATAACTTACTATTTCTACTATTTTGGGGTTTGCATTTACGATTTTTTTTACTGTACTAATATAGTATTGCGACTTGAACCAATGGATATCGATGCCCGGTTCTACTTTATGAATGACTAGTTGATTGAATATGTCTTACTCATTATTGTTAAATACATTTTATAACATGTTTTGCTCTATCAGATCATTTATCGTTATGAAATTAACTTAAAATGTAGCCCTTAATTGATATTTCTTCTTGTAGTTATGAGACTTAATCGTCCAACATTTGTTATACAACGATGTGAACCAACTGAACTTTACTTGGATGATATAGCAGGGTGTTTAACAGCAGCTGATGCAAGTATTCGTGGAGACCTTGATGGTATTGCGTTAAATCTTCTATCTGCTGGTAATATACCTCCCTCTTCAAATTCTCATGAATCTTCTAACTATGATCATAAATTAGATAATGACAGTAAAGATAATTATAGTTATATACAACCAAAAGTTGGTGGATATACTGAACTGTTAAGTTTAACTCATTCGTTTGGGTAAGTATAAAATTTCAAAAGATAAACTAACAATACTTTTCAAAGTTTGCAATACTAAGCAACTATCTACTGATATTAAGAAAAGAAATTACTTTTTATTATTTTCTAAATTATTAGTTTTGGGGTCAATGTTTTCAGTTGAAACTTTAAGAAATTCTCATAGTTTGTACATTTACTACAAATGACTGTAAAAGTTGTTTAAAATTGCATAACCTTGAATACTTTCTTTTCCATTTTGAATCCCTCATAGCACGACACACTGATAATATTTGTTATCTACATGGGCTCCAGTATCCTGAAGGAACAAATGGCGTATGAACCAATCGTTGGTCACCGGCTACCATGGGACTGCATCTCCTTACGATGCTCCACTGCCTTGTGGGTCAGACCTTCAGGTCGAAGGCTCGGGGTGTGGCCCCCTAAGAAAATCACCTGCTTCGGTCTGGGCATCCGGGCAGTATCGCAGCCCTCACACATATCAAATGAGATGTGTGGCGCATATGTATTTGGTGCCTCCTTGTACCAATATCTATGTGTTAAAATAATAATAAATAATTATCTACGTGTGCAGATTTTGTTGCCTGAGGACGAATTCCTCGAGATATGAATAAGGCTTCTACTTGTACGAATCAACCTCTTGAATTGTTAGCTCTGTATGCTGGAAGTCTGAATTCAGATATAGCACTAACTGCGCTTAAAATGAGGTCGGACTAGTTGGGTAATGAAGTAGGAGCGTTTATAAGGGTACTTTCAATATCACTAAGGTTATTAGGAGAGTATATTATATGAAAAATAAACTAGCGAGTCAGGTAAAATAAACAATATAACGAACAGAATAAACGTCAGGCTCACCAGATAATTGTGGTGGACCAAAAATTATATTAACTCAAAAATGATAATAAAGTTATTACGTCCAAAAATTAATGTTTTAATATATTAAATATAATTTATAAACACGAGGAAAAGTTACAAGACGTTACTTATATTGACAGACCTTGGCGTGTTCGAGCTTCATTTAGTATAATATTCCACAATTATGGGTGATAATTTCAATAAAGGTTGTTATAATTCCAGCGGCATAGCCAGATGGGATATCTAATGGAAATATGACTGTGGTCTATAAATGTAGATAACAAATAATTTAGAGTTCAGTTATCGTAATAACAGGCAATTAAAAACAAGAGATGTATGTTTGTAGCAATGTATTTGCAAGCGGTTATCAGTGTGTCGTGCTATGATGGATTCAAAATGGAAGAGGAAGTATTCAAGGTTATGCAATTTTAAACAACTTTCACAGTCATTTGAGAATTTATTAAAGTTTCAACTGGAAACGTTGACCCCTAAACTAATTAATTGGCCCATATAATACCTTTTTGCACTAGATTTATTCATCAATTTGGTTATAAAGCATTTTTACATTATAGCTAACCTCAAAACCCCTATTTCGATGATAAATATTTAACTTTATCTGGGAACAATATGACATAGTTGAAAAATCTATTTAGTTCTTTTTAAGAATTTAAGAATATGGATAATCTATCTTCATAAGGATAAGTTTTTATGTCATCTTTTTTTTTCTGACAGATTAATCTCTCTACACTTTGTTCCCCTTTCCCCCCCTCATAAACTATTCATTTACAAAGAGTTTTCTAAATGATTAAAAATGAATCGCCCTTATTTTAAGTTCATCTCATCAGAAATACAAATGATAATGATAAGTAAATGAGAAACAAAAAGAAGAAAACTATCATTCACATCTTATCTCTTTTTATTTATTTTATAGTACTATTTATTTGGGTGAAACATTCTCGGCACATATAAATTTACATAATGAAAGTAATCAAATTTGTTACAATGTTGAATTAAAAGTAAGTACGGGGATTTGTGAAGATTATAGTATTTTCATAGTTGAATTCATGAGTTGATCTAAGCTAGATTGTTATTGAAAACTTGGAAGCACTAGACAGTTGTTTTGTCTTAGTATGGGATCGTATATACGCACCGCTGAGGAATCCTATACTAGGACAAAACGGCCATCTAACACTTCCAGGTACTATTCAAATTTGTTTTAATTATTTAATTATTTTCATCTTTGATATTTGATATCGAGTTTTCTACTATTTGCCTAGGATCCTATGTTATTATCAGCTGAATAATTTTATTGATAATATTGACAAATTAGTTTTAGATGTTTTGGGTGAGAGGATTTGATTTTCCTCGTTGTGTTGGCATTAAAACCTGCAATTAATCAGTCTTCATTATGTTATGTACATCCTAAACAGATCCTTCGCAATATAGTGTCTAATTATGACTTTCTTTATATGTTTGAATTACGGATAGGAATAGGGTCGAGGAAGCGCGTTTCGTTTTGTTCTTAGAACTCATCGACTGTATCCACCTTTATCTTTGTGTTGATGTTCACATTAAGACTTGAAGCTAGAACAAGTCTCGCTACCTGTATTACACCAGTTACAACCATCCCTAACTTGAGATGGCTTCTAAAATCTCTGAATGTGTAATAATTTCATCATTATACAATCTTAGGGAATTAAAAACCTAGGAAAGTTATGTAAACCGTATGCTTTTTCTGGAATGTATGAATTATAAACTAATGTCTGTTATGGTTACTGATGATCCACAGTTTTTCGTATCATCGATATCTTGAATAATTTTTTTTACTTGTACTGTTGTTTATCTCTCCCAGTTAATATTTTTCAACTGTTTTGACTGTTTCTTTATGGACGGTTGGATTAGTTCTTTATGGTTCGAACTATATATATGCTAGGTTCTACGTTGCTAATAATTACGTGATTTACTGATACAACTTGACTATTCTTGAGATGTCACATTATTTATTTACGATACTAAATCTTCATGGAAGTAGATACAAGGAAAAAACTTATGTTGTGATTCTAACAACTTATACATAGTCTAAATGAGCCTAAATGTAATTTTAATTTCATTGAGGTCTTTTTCAATACATCTACCATACAAGACTTCTCTTTTATCAAGTCGTGTAGGCAGACAGTAGGGAATTATTGTTAAATTATTGTGTATTGGTCATCCTGTCTATCCATTCCTTATAGAACTTGTTTCGTATTAGACAAGTTTAACAAACGCTTAGTATTTAAGATTATTAAAATCAGTTACAATTAACAACAGTAATTGACCAAGTTTACTCAATACATTTATAGAAGAGATTAAGGAGAATTGATTTTTGGAATAAACTCTTGCGTATAGACAGATGTATTTATAATATCCTAGAGAGTGTAATAAAAGAATACTAACGTATTAAAATAGCCATGAGCTAATATGAGGAAAGCGTTTTATATAGTAATAAAAATTATAGAAAGTTTCACATAAAGATAAATTTTTGCGGATAAAACAGAAATTCAAATTCATTACGTAATAAAAATGATTTTCAAAGCTTTCAGTATTGCAGACAAGATCGTACTTTTGAACTATTAGTATCATGTCATGTTTTTTTCCCCAAGGTTTTTGTCAATCTCCATGGTACTATCTCGTCTTTCACTTTTTTGTCCTTGTTGAGATCCAACTTTGATTGAATTCAGTCTGTATTACTAATTCATGCTCTACTGTATATAAGATAGCAACCGATGGTTAGAGATCTTGAATCACATGGCTGAAAATCGTTTGCAATGGCACAGGTGCATCTACTCTTTGTGTTCTTCCAAATTCTAATCTTCTGAATTCTTCATGTCCCTTTCTTTTTTCTCTTTCCAAATTTATTTCACTGGATTATACTCCTTTAATAACATCTTGAAACCCTAATGTTTTCGATTACTGGTTATACTCTTACTACCTCTACCACTACGGGATTTGAATCTGCATCTCTGTGCTAATGTGATATGGCAACTCGAACTGATGTACATACGTACGAATTTCTACGTTGTTACTGATTGACTACTGTATATAAAAATGTAAAGAAACATTTTAATGATATTAATTTCAGTTGAACTTTCTTTAACGGAAATTCCTAAGAATGTATCCACTTACCAATTAGAAATGAGTATAAAACAATCCTCTACATCTATTATATCATATGTTTATTTTCTTAAATAATTGACAAAAATTGAAGCAGCCCTAGTGAAAAATATTGATTAATGGTGTTGAAGTGCACATTTACACATAACAACAATGTATTCTATTTACTTACAGACATCTATTGATGTTATATTACTGGGTATATGTAGCATTGAATTCTTTTAATCACAGTTTTTGAATTAAAATTTCAGTAAATACATAGAACCAGTAATTATTGATCTTGAATGTTTGATTAGTATGATATCATTTTTCTTCATTACAACGTTCTATGGTCTAATATTTTTAATGTTAGATTGATTGCCTAGTAATTAAAACATAAATTCAAATCTCACTCCACCTATTTCAGTTTTGGGAGTTAGATAAGATGTTTGATCTCTCATATAATTAAAGTATAAATCATATCTCAATACATCAATCTTAATCTCTGGTACATGAGTAAATTATGCTGGGGTGGTGGTTATATAGTACATCCAATTAGTTATCATCGAAATAAATCACAAATTATTTGTATTTGTATCGTTTTTATTCAGAAGGAATTTTATAGATTTCACCTTTACAGTTTTTTTCTATATTTTTATTGTTTTTTTTTGCATTTATGAGTAGACTTTTACAGATAAACTTCTAAATGTTTAAATCAATTTAATGACTTTGCACTGAAATATCCACGACTTACAGTTTGTACTGATAAATAATAATAATAATAATAATAATAATAATAATAATAATAATTGGATTATCGTCTGTGCGCACGTGTGTTCGGGCAATCAATGTCCGTAGGTACGGTATGTGCTTTGCACCTTCGAAGTGCAAAACACTTCTACAAGACTGGCAGGATTCTAATCCTGTACTCACCTTGGATGGTGAGCAGATAGAAATAGTTGAGAAGTTCGTGTATCTAGGTAGCTGCATAAGTGCTGGTGATGGCGTGTGTGATGAGATCAATGCACGTATAGTGAAAGCCAGAGTGGCTTATGCCGATCTGAGCCATCTTTGATGCCGTCGTGGTGTTAGTCTATCTGTAAAAGGTCGGATCTACAACGCATCCTTGAGAGCAGTTCTGCTCTATGCTTGTGAAACCTGGCCTCTCCGAGCTGAGGATGTTAGACGACTCTCTGTGTTTGATCATCGTTATCTCTGAAGGATTTCTGGCATCCAGTGGCAACATCATGTTAGTAATGCAGAGGTTCGGCATCGTGTACTCGGGCGCAGCGACGATAATTCAATCGGTGTGTCACCATCTTGAAATATCGAATTCAGTGGCTTGGATATGTTCTACGAATGTCGTCCCAGAGAATTCCACGTCTTGCATTATTTGCCGACTCTGGGACTGGTTGGAAAAATTGGAGAGGTGGTCAGTGTATTACATGGTGTCGTGGTATGAAAGAAAGCTGCAAAGGGCTAGCTTGTGTTGGACCTTCACTACTCCCTGGCTGGAATCCGAGAGATGGTGCAACACAGTGGCTAGAAACGTTATCAGAATGGCTCAGAATAGAAGCCAGTGGCGATCCTGCTGTAACCTTCTTTTACATTCTTCATAAAAAGTAGTTGTTACTTCCTTAACTGAAAGAATTCTTCTGGTTGTACCTTTCCGTTTCCCCCATTATTATTGTTATTATTACACTACCTTACACTAATCTGTGGTCGTTATTGGTCTTCTCTTTTTTTTTACGCTCCTTACCTTCTTTATTTCACTTCCCATTCTCATTGTTTTGTGTGGCGCATATGTATCTGGTGTCCCCTTGTACCAATATTTATGTATTCAAATAAATAAATAATAAATACTGATAAAGAATTCCTTTTCTATATTCTTTACTAAAATAGATACTTTTTTTTATAATTTAGTATTTTGTTTTAATCATACCCTTCTTTCAATTCATTTTATAAAGCTATAATGATTTACGGAAAGGTACTCAATTCTTTCCTACTGTGTATTTTAATGTAAAATAATGAAAAACAACTGGATAATCTAAACCTTTATTATTGATGATATGAACATTATACTCGTTAAATAAATGATTATTTGGAAACAGTAAATTAGTACATAAGGTGTTTAATTTTGAAGCAAAATGTGCTGAGTTTAAATCCCACTGTGAACATCAACTCTAGAATAAAGATACATTCAAATGATAGGATGCACCGTGCGTCCTGGATTTTAATGGTTTCTTTGTCTACATATAATAAACATCTTCATATTCAGTTTTTGTTTTCTTCCTTCACACTATGACCAGTATTATGTCATATATTACAACTCCAGTTAATGTTTCTTTCTAAATAATAAATCGTTTGGTTTTCAGTTTATATGGTAGTAAGATGTTGACAGATTTTGAATGAAATCGTTGAACTCGAAAAGAAACGTTGAACAGATAAAACAAGCCGAAATAAACCCAAATACGAATTTGTGAATCTCTCCATCTGTCTTTTGTATGTTGTGTAGTTTCTTGATATTAGAGATAGTTGTCGGAAAAAAATCCAACTAAATTTATCAATCTCAGTTTATTAGTCGTTATTTTGGAGCTCATGAATTGTGTATTTTATTCCAGATTTTGAATAATACATTTGTAGTTTTTGTATTGAATATCTACTATTTGACTGATTAAACTAATCTGAAACTCTAGGGTTTAAATTTTAAAATGGATTGGATATGTTATGCTAGAGATTCTAATCGACGATATCACCTTCTGCATAAACTATTACTTTATACAAATTAGTGTCCAATAATCATCAGATTTGTTTCCTGTAACCATATATTGTTTTCCTTCGATATTTTGTTGATTACATTTGTTTTATAAATATGTAGGTTGCTCTTCACAACCGTATCGAATCGATCACTTTACCGATATTCACTTCTATAAGTGGTCAATCTAATAGTACTATTACTTCACGTAATTCTTCAACAAATTCAGAATCATCAAATACTCATACAAGTTCAGGTCCATGTAATAACGCTGGTGGAATCAATACTAAGGATAATATTTTTGATTTACAACCAGGACAATCATTGAATGCGATTATCAATCATGAATTGAAAGAATTAGGGGTTCATAACCTACGATGTACGGTCTCATATTTTCAAACTAGTTCTCACGGTAAATCAGAAAGTTCATCACATGTGGTAGCATATGAATCTCCACGGTTAACATCAGGTTAGTGTTTATCCATTGTTATCTTTCATGTATAATTATTTCTGTGCACTTACTGATGATTGAAGCTTTCATTTTGTACTAAGCTCACGACCCATTTATATTTCAATTAAATTTTGCGTCTATGATTGATCAAATATTAAATAGGTCAAATCATTCCTAGTGCTGATCAGATTCTATCGATTGAACCCGCCAAGAAGCAACAGTTTCTTCAACATGCTTTGAATATGTGTTACGCTGTTTACCTCAACCTCTTATGCTTGTTAGTATGATATATAGTGGATTGAAAAAAGACTAGTGACAACCAGATAAAGACAAAATGTCAGTTCTTTGAGTTTATTGACTTTTGGTTTTGTGGCAATGTCTGTCATTAAACGCCGTACCTCAAAAGTACATAAACCTGGTGAAGAATCTTTTACTCGAACACTACTAGTCGAGTCAGAGGTTATGGCAAACTATCACTTGATTTTGCAACTTCAAGTGGTGTTTGGCAAGGCTGTCTACTATCTTCATTTTTGTTCATTTTCATCATAGACCTACTGGTGGAGATAACGTTCTCGTCGTTTGGATTTTCAGGAATCGATCTCCAACCAGGAGATTCACTTAGAATACATCGATGACATAGACCTGTTTGGTGATGACGCCGATAAAATGAAGTGTTTTGGTAGCACTTAGCAACAATTCCAGGATGTTTGACATGCGTTTGTCCCCCTCTAAATGCAAGTGGTTGCTTCACGACCGTCCTACGTCAAAATCTGAACTAAGGATAGATAGTGAAGTAGTCGAACACATCGACTTCTTCACTTATCTTGGGAGTTTGGTCAGCCGTAATGGGTTGGTATCTGACGAAATCGCTATACGGATTCAAAAAGTTTGTATAGCTTTTACCAACTTACGTCACCTTTAACGAAGGTGAGATATCCATCTATCAACTAAGAGACGAGTATGCTGCACGGCAGTTCGTATTGTTTTACTATAGGCTGCGAAACGTGGCCGTTAAGTGTAAATGATACTCGTAAGTTACCAGTATTTAATCACAGATGTCTTAGAAGTATTCCTCGCAACTGCTGGGATCACCAGGTAAGTAATAGTGAGGTCAGACGCAGGGTATTAGGGAATACTGGTAAATCAGTTGGTGAGGTTGTGAATTTTCATCGACTGAGATGGTTGGGCCACGTATTTCTCATGCCTAATCACCGATTACCACGTCGTGGAACTCTGACTATTGTTGGATATGAATGAATGTTAGGGACGGCTAAATCAAAACGTGGCATAAGTTCTTGAAGTCGCTAACTTCTGGTCTTAGCCATATTAGTAGATGCAGACTATTTGGTTGTAGTCCGCGCGACTATCGTATTCAATGGTTGGAGACTGTGGGTGACATGGCTCAGAATCGATCACAACGGCGTAGGTGTATACACTCTTTATCCTCCCTTAAACCGTGAGATTAAAATTGCTTCATATCTTTTTCTCGACGAACTAATTCTTTCTCCCTGTATCATATTCTAATATGCGACCCTTTTTTACTCATTACTACCAGTAACTGTCTCTATGAATTTGGTGTTCATTATGTTGCGCTAATGAAGTATGCCAACTTGAACCGATGCACATATATGCCTGGTTCTACGTTGCAGCTGATCGACTGTGGGTATGATCCACTTCATAGAGATGCATCGGGGTTCTGTCCGGTGTTTTTGAACTAATCGTTATTTACGATTATGGGATGTTAATTTTCATGGTCCAAAATTGATTGTCGTGTTGTATTTATACTTTTTATTGCAAATCTATCCTTTGTAAATTGTTTTCTGACTATCATTGATACTATTACAATGAATTTCCTCTTATTCTTGGTCATTTCACATTACTTTGTGTCTAAGAGGTCTGGTAATTCGTCATAATACTTGTCTTTACTGGGTGAACAAATTCATATAATAACACAATGTTAATTAGCTAAAATGTTGCTGAGTTCCACTAAGAACTTGATTCAATATTTTTGTGCATTGTATCATAATAAATTAGCTTCAAAGTGTTACATAATCAACATACTAATAGTAAGCAAAGGGAAATTTAATCTGTTACAACTTTAACCTTTATGTACATATGGATGTAAATTACGAATGAGAATTTTAGTTACACAGCGTTTCAGGAGTTCAACATTCACCGGGGAGATTCACTTATTGACTTAGAATATGCCAATGACATAGTTTTATTTGGTGAAGACGCTGACAAAATTCAGAGTTTTCTGACCACTGTAAGCAACAATACAAAGATGTTCGGGATGCTATTCCCCGTCCTCGAAATGCAGTGTTCTCCCGAGTTCGAACCTTCTGAATTTTTCATGTCCCTTTCTTTTTTTCTCTTTTCAAATTTTTTTCAATGAACTATACTCCTTGAATAACCTCTTCAAACTTTAATCTTTCCGATTACTGCTTATACTTTTACTACCTCCACCATTGTAAGATCTCTGTGCTAATGTGGTATGGCAACTCGAACTTATGTACGTACGTATGAAGTTCTGCGTTGTTGCTGACTGACTGACTGACTGACCTAAAAGTGGTAATTTGGTAATTCACTCTTGTTATTATTACTTCTCTTTTTTAAAAAAAGATTGTCTCTTTAAAATATCTTTATTATATTTTTATTTGTCAGGTCTTTCATCTCGTGATACTACTAGTAAACGTGAACCAATTACATTTCAACGCTTATATAAGTTTATGGTAGGTTAAAGCATTATTTATATATTGAGTTATTAAATTTTGTAATTCCTAATTCTTATAAGAGTTGTTTATTTAAAATAAACAAGTTTGATATCGAATAGCTAGGAAATTAAACAATTGCTTCATATATTATCCGTCCTATTTAGTTATTAAGATGAATGATTGTACCGCGCCTAAACTATTTTGATTTGTGTAGCCGGATGGTCTCTTTAGCTCTAATAGAAACAGTATGGTACAAAAACGAATACCTAAATATATACTTGATAAACGATTAACATCTTAATAACTCAAATTGTGTTATGGGTTACTTGTATCCACACAAGTAGTATATAACGGTGGTCAGGCATAGAATGTATTTCAGTAGAAGGTCAATAAGGAAAGAACGGGAATGGAACGCAATTGGTATTGAAACGCATGAACAATGAAATCTGAGACAATGGATTAATGTTTGCAACAGGAACAGTGAAGTTTGAGATGATGGATTGATATTTTGCAAATTAGCGATTTACTATATGGTTCTCAGATTTTAGTGAGAGGTTCTGTAATTTTGTGCTCAAATACATTCGATTTTCCCTACTCGTGTTCTGTTCACTACGCTACCATATATTTTTAGCCTTAAATCACTGTTAGTCAAATTTCTCTTTTAGATAGGTACTTTGAGGTATATCGTTGATCAAATTAAAACTGTCAAACTAATGAGTTTGAAAATTTTAAGATTAGTATGATGAGATTTGTGGAGATTTTTCCTAATTTAAAAATACAAACTGATCTTAGCTAAACTGTTACTGAAAACCTGGAAGCATTGAATGTCCTTTTCGTTCTAATGCAAGACTTTTCAAAAAAGTGCACATACATGATATCGCATCCGGAAACCAAATTTAGGACCTTCATTTGACCATTTGAAGGAATTTCACAAATGCCTTGAAAGAGAATCAATAGAAAATTTTCATTTGAAATAATTTTGGTCAAAAGAAAACGAAATAATTATTTCTACCTACAGAGTAGGGAAGTTATTCTTTAACTGACAATGTTAAGTTTCCAGAAACAGACTCTAATAATCCTCGAAGACGATATCGTTTGTATTTATACATCCATGTTCATGTGCATTGATGAATTCAACTGCTCATATAATTCTCACTATTTTAAAATCAGCTTCTTATCACAAATAAAAGAATATTTCTCTATTTGGTTATCAATATAGCGAATTATTACCGATACCATTCAGCCACATGTACTGACTAGTCATATATATATATATATATATATATATATATATATATATATATATATATATATATATATATATATATATATATATATGCAAATGAACTGGCGCAGTTATTTATTTCTCCGTGACATAATAACTATTAAAGATTCTCATTGTGAAACTAGGCTGTTATGTTTTTGTGATCATGAACTGATCTAAGTTGAATAATCACTGAAAACTAGGGTACACAGCAACTATCTCATCTTAATATTGGACTTCTTCAAATATAATGTTTGTACAGGAGTCTGGATTTGGAAGCATTCTTTTTAGGTAATAATATGACGTAGTGGTTATCTACTTTCATAAAACTAATAATTATTAATTGACAACTTATTTACCAGGTACAGATCCATATACTTCGGGTCACAATCGAAGTATTAGGGTCATTGATAATACCTGTTTGCACAAATCACACTAAATAGAGTCGGGCTCGAGCCTAGAGCTTATTGTCTGGAAGTCGAACACCTTGACTACTGAGCTACCATTCGACTACGTAATTAGCAAATGTCTATTGATGAAAATAAATTCCATCTTACTTCCGATTATACTTGTGATTACATTTAGTGTAAGGAATTGCTTTTCTCCTAGTCTAGTCATTAGAAATGCATTTCTTTTCAATTCTTTGCAATATTATCATTTCTATATACATATATATTTACAGGTCAACAAACCTTTGGATGTTCGAAAGAAATTTTCAATAGTTGATGTAAGTCAAATGTTTCTTATTGCTAATAGTAATTAGAGTTAATCAAATTTATTGTATAATTTTTCTGTCTTTGTTCCCCTGTTTGACAGATTTTAGTAGTACCGTTAGTTTGTAAAATAAAATGCACTTTGTAAATTATTGTTTGTATGTTTTACTCCTTTTCATTCCCTCTTCATATGATATCATGCTAAATGTTTATTTGAAACCCGTATACCATTTATTGTTCAAGGTATTGATTAATAGTAGGATCAAGTATTTATTATATACCATTGACGTGTCGATTTGTCATCATTCACAGTTGAAATGTTCTAATGTGTACTCTATTGTACTGTTTATTCTTTATCCACAATCGTAGATTGTTCTAATTAGCTCGAAGTCATGTACACAAGCCTCCACATGAATGATATTTTCGTGATCTACACTAGTAATTTTGTATATATATATCAGTAGGTCCATAATGAAGTTGAACAAAGATTGCGAAAATGGACAGCCTTGTCAAACACCACTTGAGGTTGCAAAGGTATATGACAGTTCGCCATAAGCTCTGACTCGACTAGTAGTGTTGGAGTAAAGAGCCTTCACAAAGTTTATGTACTTCTGAGGTACGCCTTATGGTAATATCAAGGTAATTCACACAGGATGTACATATTCCAACAAGAGACTGATAAATTACAGTCCTAAATAACAATGGCAAGATACAAGTAAACAACACCAAGTGAATTTAAACTTCACCCAATTGCACAAGCAGGTAACTATCAAGGCTCAGTAGCTAGGTGGATAACGCGATGGTGTTTGAAGCGAACAGTACTGAGTTCGAGTCCTGAAGTGAATATCAACTATGGGATGCAGGTACATCCAGATGACGCGAATCAGTATATTAGTTTAAGTCGTGTACAAGATATTAGGAACAATAACGGGGCGGATTTGCATGCATATAGCATACAATTCTCTTTGAACCTAGCACACAACATTAGCATCATGCACTGTCCCATCGCCCTTGGCAGATCAGGCAACTCGAACGTTACGAGAACACCATCAGGGCATACGACAGGCTAGGTACCCCAAATGCCCTGATACGGCTGAGAGTGGGGAGAGTCCGCTCTCCCTCTCGAAATGCTCTCACATGGCCACGCGTATATAGCCTCTGCCAGGGAAGTACTACTCACTGCCTTCTAGTGGCGGGGGTGTTCTTTACGAAAATGAGAGGACGAAAAGCGAATTTCCGGCGCTTTAACCGGATCCCAAATCAATTGTGCACATGGGCCCCAGTATCCTGAAGGATCAAATGGCGTATGAACCAATCGTTGGTCACCGGCTACCATGAGACTGCATCTCCTCACGATGCTCCACTGCCTTGTGGGTTAGACGTTCAGGTCGAAGGCTCGGGGTGTGGCTCCCTAAGAAAACCACCTGCTTCGGTTTGGGCACCCGGGCAGTGTCACAGCCCTCACACAAATCAATTGAGATTCGTGTGACGCATATGTATTTGGTGCCTCCTTGTACCTATACCTATGTACAGGATATTAAAGAGATATTGCTTCACATTTTCAATAACACATTTATATTAAATGTTTATTGTTTAAGGGGAATACAATGTACTATGTGTATATGTTGAATAAATTCAAATTTGTCTCAAATTTTATGCGTCCATCGAACAACTAACTGATTGAACATTGTTAATTAATCAATTTCGATATTATTCTGCATTAATTCAATTTTAAATAGCAAAAACAGGTATCAGTTTTAAATTATTTTATTTATTTATTCATTTGAACACATAAATACTGGTACAAGGAGGCACCAAATACATATGCGCCACACAAATTTCATTTGATTTGTGTGAGGGCTAGGATACTGCATGGGTGCCCAAATCGAAGCAGGTGGTTTTATTAGGTGGCCACACTCGGAGCCTTTGACATAAACGTCTGATACACAAGGCAGTTGAGCAAAGTTAGATGATGCAGTTCCATGGTAGCCAGTGACCAACGATTGGTTCATACGCCATTTGTTCCCTCAGGATACTGGAGCCAGCCCATGTGCACTAAGTGTTTGGAATGACGGTTTTCCAACTCCCCTAGGTGGACTCTGTGTCCACTACCCCAGTTAAAGCGCCGGACATTCGCTTTTCGTTCTCTCAATTTCGTAAACAACACGCCTGTCGAGAAATGGCAGTGAGTAGGACTTCCCTGTTAGAGGCTATATAAGCGCGGCCATGTGAGGACATTTCGAGATGTAAAGCCGACTTCCCACTCTCGTCCGTACCAGGGCATTTGGTGGCCAGTTTTAAATTAGATTTTAGCTAATACAATTAACAAATTATATTTGATAGATTTTAGTTGTCAGTATTGACATTTGGAATATGTTACTCTCTATTTCAAAAAGGAAGATTTTTCTGGATTTGATAATTAATGTATCCTACTAAATTGTAATTAGATATTCATGTTTAGTTTATTCATTATGGAATGAAATCCTAATTATTCAGTTTCTGCCTTAATATTATTTTATGGTGTTATTCAATGTGTTCTAAGATTTCATCATGAATGATTCACTCATTCACTAACTAACTAACTTACTAACTCAGCATGTAATGTAGAACCTTGTTGCGTACTTCCATGTTACATCGGCTATTCACTATACTGGATCAAAGAATAGATAATAAATACGGACTTTCTAAATGAATGATATGTTTTACTTTTATTTATGACTCATGGGCTAGATGAACAGTATTTCTGTTAGCTTGTTTTTAATAGAAATTCATTTTATGTTTCCTGACCGTTGTTGCTACCTTGACGTGGTGGTCGGGCTTGCCTATCGTGATGAAGCAACTGAGCTATACTGGCTGGAACAACCGTTCCTCAAGGTCCTACCATGCCAGACAGGTCGGTTGAAGAGCGGTAAGACTAAAAGCAACAAAACCAAGGTCCGAAGGCGAAGTCGTACTGCTGACTGTACAGAGGTGTGACAGCAGTAAGGTGTTTCCTTCAGACAACCAGCATGACAGCGATGCTGCCTTCCCACAAGGAGGGGTGGGGTTAGAAAAGGTCGACCCTAAAAATGCACACCTCGCCTTATCCCACGGATATCCGTCTCCGGCGGTAAGGACTCAACAAGTACGGAGCTAACACAAAAATCAATCATAAAAAGGTCGTGTGTGACCGACCTCAAGCAGCTGTCCCTTGGGCACTGCGGTCACGCTCTCAGGTCACAATGACCAACTCTAATCCAATTTCCTTTTCAGGTACCTCCAGAAGAACCCTTCCACGGTGTGGGCAACCGGGAAGTGATAACCGCCCTCATACCTCTAACAGCACTCAAGACCACTGTATTCATAGTCAACCTCCCTCTTCAATTCCTATTATTCCTCCTACATCGACTTTATACACTAAACTTCCTCTATTAGCTTCCTCCTCAAGTGTCACCACAGCCAACGATTCTAATGCTCAAAACACTGTCCCAGGTCTACTGAAACCTCGCTCCAAACTACACATTGGAGCCTTCAACGTACGCACACTATGCCAAATCGGTCAGCAGGCTTCCTTGGCTAAAACCTTAGAATCTCGTACCATTGATGTATGCTGTGTCTCCGAAACACGCATACAGGATCCTAGTGTGGTCATTCACTTGACCTCACCTCGGCAAAACGGAGAGCCAACGAGATACACCCTCCGTGTATCTGGCGACCCGATGGCTAGTTCTCGTGGACTGGCAGGTGTAGGCATAGCACTTAGCATGAGGGCGGAACAAGCGCTATTAGAATGGATCCCCGTTAACAGTCGTCTATGCGCTGTTCGGCTAAACGGCTCGGTAAGAACTCGGAAGGATAGGGACACACGTCGTTGCCTTTTCGTCGTTTCTGCCTACGCTCCCACTGACTGCAGTTCGGATGAAGTGAAAGATGAATTTTACAGAATGCTGTCTGAACTTCTTCAGAAAGCTAAACGTTCAGACATAGTACTCGTAGGAGGTGACTTTAATGCCCAGGTAGGTAGCTTAAACAAAACAGAAAGACATTTAGGTGGGTATTTTAGTATTCCGGCACAGCGAACAGATAATGGTGATCGTCTGCTGCAACTGTGCTCAGACAATCGTTTATTTTTAGCAAACACAAATTTTAAGCATAAGGAGAGACATCGTCTAACATGGCGACCCCCTGCACCAAACCAACGATGGACTCAAATAGACCATATTGCCATCAGTCATCGTTGGAGAGGGTCAATAGAAGATTGTCGCTCATTCTGGGGTACCTGCTTGGACTCTGATCATGCCCTAGTACGAGCACGCATCTGCTTGCGCCTCACTGGACGCAAAAGAGCCACACAAAAAAGACTCATTAGAACCGAATTGAGTAATGAGAAAGCCAAAAGTAGGTTCCAGGAACAACTGAGGTCACACTTAGGTAGTTCTGAAAACGAGACTGACCCAGATGTTGCTTGGAAAGTTATACAAGCAGCTGTGGAAACAGCAGTGACATCTACTAGCGATTCAAACCACAGGGTTACAAAGAACCAATGGATTTCGTCAAGGTCTATTGCACTGATAGATTCTCGCAAACTCATCCCATCAGGTTCTGAATACGATGAAGAGCGTAAAGAAATCAAATCTAGATTAAGCAAAAGTCTAAGGAATGATCGTGAGCATTGGTGGGCAACGAAAGCAAAAGAGATGGAAAAGGCGGCGGCTATAGGGAACACAAGACAACTCTACAGACTAATAAAAGAAACTGGAATTAATAAATCAAGTGTAAGTCAGACCATTTCGGAAAAAGACGACACTCTCATCTGCTCCCAGTCCAGACGCTTAGAACGATGGGCGGAACACTTTAAGGAGCAGTTTAGCTGGCCTTCAGCTACTCTACAACTACCCTCTATTCCCAGACAGTGTGAATGGAACATTGAAGTAGGTCCCCCAACTCTAGCTGAAGTTCAAAAGGCTATAGCTAATCTGAAACGAGGACGGGCAGCTGGTCCAGATGGATTGGCCCCAGAGGTCTTTAAGGATGG